AAAATAAAATAGAAAAAGACAAAGTTCCTGCCCTCAAGGAGATCACAGGTAGTAGGAGAGGAAGACAAGAAAACCAACAAACAAAATGTAACCTATGAAATGCTATCATGAGAAAGCATGGTACAGTAGTACGTAACAGGAGCCCACATGCAAAAACAACTAGAAAAACAGAGGCTCTGAGGAATTTTTGGAAAGAAAACCAGGCAAGAAATGACCTCCCCTGATCGAGGATAGTGGTCATTCCAATTGTAAGAAAGGGAGAAATCAAGAATGACTCTTCGTTTTCTAGGTTGAACAGTATGTTAGTGCCAAGTTCTGAGATGGGGCATTCCAGACAGAGGGGAGCCTTTCTCATGGTGTTAACATTGCTAGTTTCTTGCTAGTTCTTGAACAATTTTGCTTAACATGATTTCTAAAACTCACAATAATCCTGTGAAGTAGGTAAACAAGCAAACAAAAAAACCCTCTGCTGTCAAGTCAGTTCCGACTCATGACAACCCTATGTGTTACAGGGTAGAACTGAGCTCCGTAGGGTTTTCTTGGTTATAATCTTTATGGAAGTAGATCTTTCTCCCAGGTGGGTTCAAACCACCAACCTTTCGGTTAGCAGCTGAGCCCAAACCATCGCCCCACCAGGGACCTGAAGTGAAGTGGTAGTACAGCTGAAAATACTGGCGCCACAGGGGTCAGGAACTTGCCCAGCATCACAGAGTTTAGAAGAGGTAGAAGGAGTCAGTAGATAACAGGGAAGAGAGCCCACTCCTGCTGAAAAGGCTTTTATTTTCCTAGGCCAATCTTTGTGCTAGGAAATGGTGGCAAAATAATGAAATCCAGGCAGGATACTTAAATTCCTTATATTACTGCCTATTGGAAACTCTGCACCTTGCCCTAACATCGTCTATGTGGGGAAATTCACAAAGCAAACTTGGCATTTATTTTCCTGTATAACTTTTTACATGTATCTCCTATTGAGGAATCTTGTCCATCAAATAAAAGTTCATTCTTCTCTAACTTGGAGTTCATCTACCAAGTCAAGTGGTGTCTTGCTGTCCCACCCTATCCCTCTACCAGGCTAACACCCAGCCATCAGTTCTCAGCTTATCTATCACGGCCTCTGGGAAGCTTCCTCTGACCTCTGGTAAATAAAATTACTCAAAATGCAAAAATAAGGCAAGAAATAATTGGGTGGCCTTTCAATGTGATGCTAAACATGTGTAAACAAGTCTACTTGTGGGTGATCTGAGTCTCTTGAGGAGTGTAATGTGGCTTGACTTAATATTGACCCCAATTAATTAGAGTGATGACATTTTATAACTCTGGAAAGTTAAAAGTTTAACTCCTAAAAAAAAATGATAAAGTGTGATTATTTTCTTTTCTGTCAGGCAGAGAAAAAACACAACTCCTCAAACCAGTTTTATAGCATTGTAGGACATTACCAGTTTTGTTTATAATTTAGCAATCTGCTGACTTTTTAATTCCATTCCTTGTGTTCTCTTTCGAATCAGCTTTGTCATTCTGCTGGTTCCCTCAATAATGAGATAAATAAAACTTCAACATGTACTCGTTATCTTTTTGCGTGAGATTTATGTTTTAATAATTTGGGAATTATGATTGACACAATTTAGTTAAGAACTGATCCCCAGATCCCCACCTCAGGTGCAACGGCTCATTTGCCTTGTTAACCTGTCTTATGTCCCACTATTATCTCCAGAACCCACCACAGTGGTTGGTCCAGAATATGAGCTCAACTAAAAATTTCCTGAATGATTTATTTCACCCAAATGCACTCAGAGCCCTTTACCTCACTTTTCCTCTCCTTTGTCCATCACGATCTGAAACTACTACAACTTCTTTAATAACTTAATGATGGCTCTCTTTACTACCTGTAGCCTTGAAAAGTATAAGTGTATCACCTAATTACATGATGGTTTTTCTCTCAATGCCACACATACAACACAGTTTCGGCCTGACAACAGGATGGAGTTCATGTCATCTGTCTGGGCTTTGGTACTGTACAAAAATAAACATTAATAAAAATTACCACCACCACTTTGAAAAAATTGTCAGTTTTTATTAAAAATATCAATTGGTTATACAAATAGCATAAGACTAAGCCCGTTGCCATCAAGTCAATTACAAGGAGAGGCTGTTACAACAGATGAACTACAAAATGTATAACAATATGTAAAAATATCTGAAATACATAATTTTCTCAAGCAGAATATGCTATACCCATACATGTAAATCAGTCTCCATTCAGTATATACCCAGTCATGGAATAAGCCTCTCTATTCTGATCTAAGGAGCCCTGGTGGCATAGTGCTCCAAGTGCTCGGCTGCTAACCAGCTCCTGTAACACTCTTTCCCCAGTGCCCATCTCCTACAGCATCAGTAGCTTCTCCAACACCTGGCTTCTGCAGCATGGGAAGCTTCTCTAACATCAAGCTCACGAGTGTGCACAGGTTTTCCAGTGCCCAGCCCTCAGCACCAGCTTCCCCAGGCTCAGCTCCTGTAGCACCCAACTACCAGCAGCTTCTCCCAACACCCTCCTGAGCTAGCTCTGTATACCCCCTTGTGAACAGCTTTTCCAAGCAGCCTAGAGGATGCGTGCCTAGAGGATGGATTTCTACCAACATCTACCAGCATGGCACCACAGTGACTTCTCTGCCATTTCAGCCACAGCCTAGCCCTCCCCTACAAAGTCTGGATCTCAGCCTTGAGGGCTGGGGGTGGGGGCTCTTTCTCGAATGCTTCATCTCAGCCCTAAGAATAGTAACTGCTCCTCATATCTGCTATTCCCATATTCTTTAGAGTTTTCTCTATTTCTTACTAGCCAATCACTCATTACTCCAACACTGTTATACTGTAGTTAGTAATTTTTTAAATGGTCCCTATTCAAATTACTATGTGGCTTTCCTTTCCTGATTGGACCCACACTGATATAAACTCCTAGAAACAAAATAAAAATGAAACACTTTTTTAACTTAAAGAAATCTTATCAGGCACTTTATAAAAGCAGCAGTTTCCTATGACACATAACTTTTACTCACACAGAAACAAAATAATATTTACAGAAATGGAAATTATTTACACATTTGGGATTCAGAAGGTGTCTTAGTTAACTAGTGCTGCTGTAACAAAAATACTACAGTGGATGGCTTTAACAAAGAGAAATTTATTTTCTCACAGTCTAGCAGGCTAGAAGTCCAAATTCAGAGCATGAACTCCAGAGGAAGCCTTTCTCTGTTGGCTCTAGAAGAAGGTCCTTCTCATCAATCTTCCCCTGGACTAGGAGCTTCTCTGTGCAGGAACTCCGGGTCCAAAGGACGTGCTCTGCTCCTGGCGCTGCTTTCTTGGTGGTATGAGGTCCCCCGTCTCTCTGCTCTGCTTCTCTCTTTCATGTCTCAAAAGAGACTGGCTCAAGATACAATCCATCTTATAGATTGAGTCCTGCCTCATTAACATAACTGCCACCTATCCCACCTCATTAACACCACAGAGATACGATTTACAACATATAGGAAAATCACATCAGATGACAGAGCAACAGACAATCACACATTACTGGGAATTATGGCCTAGCCAAACAGATAGACATATTTTTGGGGGACACAATTCAATCCATGACAGATGGCAAAAAAAGTGAGAACACTGAGATTTTCTTACGCTTTCTTACTGATACAAACAGTTCAAACAATCATGATTAGAATTGCTTATTTTGAGATGAGCAAAACGAATACACATTATTCTCTATTAAACTAGGAGGGTCCCTACACTGACCCAGATACTTAAAATTGGTTCATCTAACGTACATTCAGGGGAGTCAGATACAACGTCAAAACACCTTACAAGATCCTTTACCTTCTTTAGTAAATAAGTTTTTAAAATCTACTGTAATCTTTTGAAAGGAGCCCTGGTGGTGCAGTGGTTAAGTGCTCAGCTGCTAACCGAAAGGTCAGTGGTTCAAACCACCAGTGGCTCCGCATGAGAAAGATGTGGCAGTCTGCTTCCTTAAAGATTACAGCCTTAGAACCCTGTGGGGCAGCTCCATTCTGTCCTATAAGATTGCTATGAGTTCAGAACCGACTCAACAACAATGGGTTTTTACGGGTCATCTTTACAGACGTGTTTCTCAATTGTCTAAGTGGAATTGACAGAAATTAGTTTCATAAGAGGGAGAAGAACAGCACAGTAGTTAAGAGCATGGGCAAGTTATGTTATGTCTCTGTGCTTCAGTTTCCTCATCTGTGATATGGGAATAAAAACATCACCTACCTCATAGGAATGTTGTAAGGACTGAACGAGTGAAGGGTTGGATGAATGACGCTATGAAGAGCACTTGGAATTGTGTCTGGCAACTTAACTCTAAGCTATTGTTACCCACAGGAGTCCCTGGGTGGTGCAAATGGTCAAGCACTAGACTACCAGGTTGGCGGTTTGAATCCACCTCGAGGCACCTCAGGAGATGTGCTCAGTGATCTGCTTTAGAAAGGTCACATACTTGAAAACCCTCGGGGGCAGCTGCACTCTGCACACATAGGGTCGCCATGGGTCAGAATCCACTTGAAGGCAACTAACAACAACATTATTATCCACAATTTTACCCTCAAATGCTATTACTTTAACATTATAACGACTAAATAAAGAGGGGGAAAAAACACAATTTCTTTCAGAATTCTTTATAACAGAAGCATGAACACTTCATATAAGCCTTTTGTTAAGCTAAAAAAGCAGGAGTAAAAGTGCTCCACACACCCAGCAGTCTTGCCATGATGAGATTTACAAGTTATAATTACCTGCCTTAAAAATATTCTCCATTTAAGTAGCATCAAGTAGTTTTTGCCAGCATTCTATTTAGAGCGAACACAAACTTCGTAAATAAGAAATTACCAACAGCATAAAAATAATCATTCAAACTTCTCATATGTTAGAATTAAGGCTACTTCTTTTTCTAATAATTTGGGGCTGCAGAGAAAATGAGATTTCTTCAAAGTTTAGTAAGTTTTTTTTTTTTTCCCCCAAAGTTTTATACCTCAGATATTATCTTTGTAGTCAGACAGCCTGGGTTAACTCCAGCCCCATCCCTTGTGTCAGCTATACAACTTTGAAAAGTGTTTCAACGTCTCCCAATCCTAGTTTCTGAGCCTATAACATGAACATAATAATTGCTACAACGAAAGTCGGTTGTAAGGATTAAATGAGATAATGTGTGTAAAGCTAGCATATGCATGATACAGTCATTGCTCTGTTGAGGACGCAGCCATTAACATTACTATTGCTGAGATTTTAGTAACTAACCTTTTGCCCTATCAACTTCATTACCTGTTTTCTAAATAGGTAAATGTCAGAAGAAGACCCTATAATGTCAATGTGTGTCCTATAACAATTTACCAGCACTTGAAGGTAGATCAAACTTAGTTGCTCACATGCCAATTTAATGGTTCTTTGCTCTCTATTCTCCTTTCCTTCTAAAACAATCGTGTCTTTTCTAAGCTCTAACTGAAGAGAATAGGAATATTCCTTAATGAGCTGTTTTACATGCTTTACATTGTCTGGCTGAGACCCACCTTGAACACTTTTTAGATAAATTGTGGTAACATCATTATCCACTCTCTCCCGACTTAGAACATTAAATGTTTTCAATGTGCCTTCATAACATCTGCACTTCTGTTTCAAGTAAAGGAACACATCTGTGTCGAGAACAAGTGTTTCTCCACTTCCAGTCGTCTCAGGTACTAAGGTCCTGAATGACTCCAATGAGTCATTACTTCTCTGTAGACTCCCTTTGGGGCTTTGCCTACTCAACTTTTTTCCCTCACTGATAAAATTCCTGTTTTTTTCTAAAAGAGAACTGGCTTTCAACAACAAAGATTCTCTGAGCCTCTTGATAGCCAGAAATGATCCATGAACAGAGATTCTTCCATTGTGCTCCAAAGAACTGAAGAATAAAGTTGGGATTTTCTTTTTCAGGTCCCTTATCAGCTTTTCTAGAATAACTTGACTCCCAAAAACAGAAAGATCAAGGATAGCATTTACAGAGCAGAAGACCTAAAATAAAAAAGAGAGAAATTGAAATTATACTGCTTAGTGAAGCAGATGACATAAACACATTCTTTCTCTGCTCCCGCAGAGGTTGCCTTAAACCAGACCCCACTGCCCAGCCCAGACATCCTGGCTTCTTGCACCACAGAAGCCCATCAAAGGGATCCCACAGTACCATCAAGGCCACATTGCTCAATTTAGTATTGACAGTCCCTTACCACATACCCCAAAACAGAGATAGTCAAAAGTTTTTTAGTTGCAGAATGTTCTTTTGAAACAAAATCTTATGTAGAGCCATAGACAGAACATTGTTCTGGTTCTGCTCTGAGGATAAGGGATAAGGGCCCTATCCTTTTGATCTTGTCCCCCTAAAGTTGTCCCCAGCTTCAAAGTTCATCACATGGCTCCACAGAGCCCTAGGTTTCTTACACAATGGAATTTGTAAACCAATGCTTTGAACTTTAACTTTTTTTCTCATTCCTTATTATTTCTTTCCTGACTCTTTTTTAAATTATGCTCATCCTAATTGCTTTTTTCCCCAAAGTAAAGTCTTTAGGTAGGCACGGGACATCATCTAGGGCAACACAAAAGCTCGCTGCCACTTTAAAGCATTAACTGGACATACAGAAACATAAAACCAGTAGGCAATAACAGAAAAGTTTCAAGACATAGGGTTGGCCTGTGTTACACTGACCTGAGTCAGGAAGTTCGCATTGTCTTTTCTAGAAGTAATAGGGTGGGTGTTTTGTGTCTCCTTAAGTAGGGAAGACATTGCTGAAGAAAAGGGGTCGAGGAGGGTCAGCATACCTTTGGAATCACATCTTACCTTTTCACCCAAATGAGAGACTGTGAGTTTAGCCTGTACAGTCTTCTTTCCGAGACGGTGATTCTTTTTTCTGATGACATTCTCTGCAACTAAGTGGACACATTTCTGCCGTTAGAAGTGTTTGTGGCAAAATACATGGCTCAATTCTATTATCTAGAACGTTGAAGGGATTTTTTTCCCCTGCATTATTTCAGTATATTCAACATTCCAATAGCTTGTTTCTTCCCACTTTAACACAGTGAAATTCACTTTATGTATAAAGATTACCCTAATCATACTTTTAAAAACACACACACTGTGTGTGTGTGTGTGTGTGTGTGTGTGTGTGTATATACGAATAGAAAACTATAACCTAAAAGTAAATCCCCACACTGTTAATTACTGCCATAAGAAAACTTTACCTTCTTGAATCCAAGATATACTACACTGTCTTGGTTTTCCTCCTAACTCACTAGCTGACCTTCTCAGTCCCTTTTACTAATCCTCCTTCTCTTCCCATTCTCTGAACATTGGCATGCCCCAAGCCTCAGGCTTCACACATCTTTGCTAAACTTCACCCACTCCCTGGGTGATCCCAACAATTCCTATGGCTTTAGATACCATCATTACACTTGTATCTTTCAAAATTCTATTTTCAGCCTTCACATTGCTCCTTTCTGCCTATTAGAAATCTCTACTTCATTGCCCTAATAGGTCGTTGCCCAAAACTCAACACTTAATAACTCTACCCCTCCCAAGTGTACCCTTTCCCCAGTCTTCCCAATCTCAGAAAATGACCTCTGATCCATGAGCAAATCCTGAATATCCACCAGTTCTCATCACTTGCCCTGCCACCACTCTAGTCAAAGCCAGCAATGATTATAATAGTCGCCCATTCTTCATGCAGCAGCCAGAATGACTGCCTAAGAAAAGGCAGTCAAGTCTTGTCAATCCTCTATTCAAAACCCACCATTTCACTCAGAATAAAATCCAGAGACTTAGCCTTGACCTATAAGTTATTTTCCATAAACTAGGCTCCAGCTCCATGTCTAACCACATCTCCTATCCCTCTCCCCACTGCTGATTAAACTTGAGCCACACAGACCTCCTATCTGTTCAAGGTGTCCAGCATGCTCCCACCACAGGGCATTTTTATCAGCTCCTCCCTCAGCCTAGAATGTTCTCCCCCTCATATTGCATAAATTATTGCCTTACTTCATTCTACTCAAAAGTCACCTAAACAGAGTATTTCCCTAATCACCTTATCTAAAATAGCACCCTCTAAGACACTCTAATCCCTTACTCCCCTTTATATTTTTTCGTAGCACTTGTCACCATCCAACATATATTATATATACATTTATTCGTTTATTGGCTATCTATCCCAATCAGAAGGAGCCCTGGTGGTACACGGGTTAAGCACTCAGCTGCTAACCAAAAGGTTGGTGGTTCAAACTCACCAGCCACTCCACTGAAGAAAGATGTAGCAGTCTGCTTCCGTAAAGATTACAGCCTTGGAAACACTATGGGGCAATTCTCTTTCTTATAGGGTCGCTATGAGTCAGAATCGACTTGGCAGCAATGGGTTTACCCCCATCAGCTGTATGTTTCATGAAAGAAAACATTTTGCCTGTTTAATTCCCTGCTGTGTCTTCAAGGCCTAGAGTGGTGCCTCACAAATAGACACCCAATAAACACTTGCTGAGTTTATGAATAAATGAGTCCTCTCCCTGAGTTACCAATTCAACACATCGAATGTTAACTTCCAACAACACTGACATTCCCTTGGAGAAATATGGAGGAAGCTTCCACCCTTCCCGCCATCCTTTATCTGCACAGCCACATTGAGAAGGAATGACCTAACTAATGGTGGAAGACAAAGGTATTAATAATCCATAGTCTTTTGGATCTCTCTCTAGAACTTGTCTTCCTTCAAGCAGAGCAAGTGCTCTTTCTCAGCTCCTAGTTTCACCTCCAAGAGGCTGGACTGGAAACTCATCTTTCTCTGGCACTCCATTCCGCCAGCCACTACACAGTAAAGAAGACTGCCGCCTCCATGAGGCTGGAGGGGCAAATGTCTCCTGCAGACCAACTCTCCTCACTCGGAGTTGGAAGGTAGGAAACAGAATGGCTCAATCTGATCTCAGAGCCAAGCCATATTTCTCCAATCCAACTTTACCAGTAATAAAGCAGACACTATATTAGAATATCCATTTGAGTGCTGTGTCTCATTATCATTGGTCTGAACAAATAAAAGTAGACAGTATAATTATATCGCAAAAGTCACTTCAAAACTCCCAAAGTAGTTATCTCTTTGTTGTGAGAGTATAGATAAATTTGTGGGTTTTTTAAATGTATTTTAGATGAAGGTTTATAGAATAAACTAGACTTCTCATTAAACAGTTCATATACATACTGTTTTATGACATTGGTTAACAACCCCATGACATGTCAACACTCTCCCTTCTTGACCTGGGGTTCCCTGTTACCAGCTTTCCTGTCCCCTCCTGCCTTCTAGTCCTTGCCCCTGCGCTGCTGTACTCCTTTAGTCTCATTTTGTTTTATGGGCCTGTCTAATCTTTGGCTGAACGGTGAACCTCAGGAGTGACTTCATTACAGAGCTAAAAGGGTGTCCAGGGGCCATACTCTTGGGGTTTCTCCAGTCTCTGTCAGGTCGATAAGTCTGGTCTTTTTTGTAAGTTAGAATTTTGTTCTATGTTTTTCTCCAGCTCTGTCCGGGACCCTCTACTGTGATCCCTGTCAGAGCAGTCAGCAGTGGTAGCCATGCACCATCTAGTTGTACTGGACTCAGTCTGGTGGAAGCCGTGGTAGTTGTGGTCCATAAGTCCTTTGGACTAATCTTTCCCTTGTATCTATTTCCTCATTGTCCCTTGCTTCCGAAGGGGTGAGACCAGTGGAGTATCTTAGATGGCCATTCACAGGCTTTTAAGACCCCAGACACTACTCACCAAAGTTGAATGTAGAACATTTTCTTTATCAACTATGTTAAGCCAGTTGAGCTAGAGGTTCCCTGAGATCATGGTCCCCACAGCCCTCAGCGCAGCAATTTGGTCCCTCAGGGGGCTTGGACATGTCTATGGAGCTTCCGTGACCTTGCCTTGTGCAAGCTGTGCTGGCTTCCCCAGCATTGTGTACTGTCTTACTGTGGGGTTTTTCTTTGCTTTTTTTTTTTTACTGTGTTTTACAGGTTTTATACAATAAAATTCATCACTTTTATCCCAAGAGATAGAAGGATTCAAAATATTGAAAAAAAAGTTTGAGAGTTTTACAGTTACTAACACCTTCATCATGAGCCATTTTGACATATATTCTTACTAATGTAATATTTTCCACTTTTATATTCAGAATACAATTTTTTTTAAAACGACTTATAACTTTACCAATCGCAAGAATCATTTTAATGGAATGCATTTTTAAAATTTCACTGAAGATTCATTTCTTAGATTACACAAATTCGATTTGGAAATACCTTTTTTTTCCTTGAATGTTACATATGCAACTCCCTTGGTTCTTGTTGGATATATCACATCTTCAACATCTCCACCCTCATTCTTAATATCTTGGAAGTAAATCTTCACTAATTTGGCCAGCGACTGATCACTAAAACTACCAACCGGAAGACCAGCAACTACAACCGTTCTTTCGGAAACTTCAGATTCCTTGACATTTGAAATTGATGCCTGGAAGAGAAATGGTAGGATACGCTTTAAAAATGTAAGACTCTACTGAATAAAGGTGAGATCACATGCCAGTGGGAGAGGCTATCTTATTTAACAAAGGTGCTATTGCAGCTGGTTAGATGCTTGAAAAACAAAATTAAAGATAGATCCTTGCTTCACATTATCCACCAACATAACCTCTATGTGAATTTGAGAAATGTAAAAAGTGAAATCTTTATTTTTATAAATGGAAAATATTGTTACTATTTGTCTGATTTTAGGAAGGAAACCTGGTGGCATAACAGTTAAGTGCTCGTTTGCTGACCAAAAGGGTGACAGTTGGAACCCACCCAGTGGTTCTGCAGGAGAAAGACCTCTCGATCTGCTCCCATAAAGATTACAGGCAAGAAAACCCTATAAGGCAGCCCTACTCTATCATATGGGGTCACTATGAGTCAAAATCGACTCAACGGCACCTAACAACAAAAATAATGGGAGAAGTCACAAATGAAAAGATCAAGAGATATCACACAAAACAAATAAAATAAAAAGCAAACTAACCACAAAATATGGTAGTTTAGAGGTCGCTGTATGTTCTCTTGGTTTAGCAGTCGATATGTTTTCTTAATTGTAGATTCCAAAGTAAATAAACCAATAAGAAATACAACCCCTATTTTTATTGTCAGAATCAGAGAAGCAGTTATCATAAAAAAAAATCCTGGCAATACATGGGGGTCACAGTGGAGTTAAATCCTGCCTTCCAGCACACATCTGAGATCGAACTCAACCACAGAGAGTACATGCTGTTTCGGACCCTGCCACCATGCTAAGCACAATATCTTCCCTGATTTGACTCTTTGAACTTCTTGTATCATCCACTTAAGGTGCCTCTGTTTAAATGCTTTCACTTGTCCCCAGCCCTGTCTAGAAAAGTAGATAGATAAGGCTCTCCAAGTGCTTAGTCAGTCCAGACTGATTACACCAGAGCTCAGACATAATCTGTCCTAAATCGCCCCAGGATGACAAGATGTTTCATGGGCCCAAGTGAAAGTTAATAGACCCCACAGTTAACAGTCCTATGTGCTCTGGGTGCACAGGACTCCGCTGAGGATAAGCAAAATATTACTTCTGACCTCCAAGGTCAAGGAGACAGTCTAAGAAATGCACAGTCACCTGTCCCTTAGAGCGAAACAGAAAGTAAGAGAATAACAAAACACAACAAAAGTAAAAGCATAAACTCAGTTAAGGGCAGCAATCAGTATGGGAAAGATTTCAACAAATTTCTGGAAGACCAAACATGCAGAGAAGTATGTGAAAGGATAAGAGAAAGTGCAGTAGCTGCAACCCAGAATAAGCAAAAAGGGGTTGCAGCAGAGAGGTGACAATCTGTATGGCAGAAGTTGAGTAACATGTAAAAAGGGGAAATGAAAAAAAGGGACCAAAAACACAGAGGTTCGTTGAAAGGCTATTGGCAAAATAATTTCCAGCTAACTCCCCACACTCCCTACCCCGTATGTATGGACACAAGCTTGCGTACATACATACACACACTACAATGAAGACAGCTGACCCCACAACTTCAGGTAAAAAACTTCAGAATTATTTATTGAAAAAAATTAAAAAACTGAATGAACGCTTTCAGGAGAGTTTGACCCGCTAGCATGGGTGTGGGCACCCCAGAGAATGCCCTCCCCTTTCTGGCATTTAAAAGGGCCTTACCTTAAAGATCATAAGCAAACTAAAAAGTGGTATGTTTTTGAGTAAGTTATGATTACAAAAAAAGATCATCCATTTGACCCAGCTATTAGGAATATTTTTCTGTGAGTGGTAAAAGGTTCATGATACTGGACCGACAGGTGCACACTATTAGCCTGCTATAAACAGTGTTCACTATTTACATCATAATATAAATAGTATTGTTGGTATTTAACTTTTAGAATAAACTGGCTAAGTCTTCAAAATACCTGACTTAAATGTAATTACATTAAAACGAAGATATTCAAACCTGTCAGTGTAAAGATAAAGGCAGAGGTAATAGAAATTGAGAAAAAAGTAAAATAATCTTTTACATTACAGGGTATAATGTAATACTATAAAAATCTTCCCCATGCGTCTGTCAGTTTGCCGTACTGTGGTGGCTTGTGTGCTGCTGTGATGCTGGAAGTTATGCCACCGGTATTTCATATACCATCAGGATCACCCATAGTCGACAGGTTTCAGTGGAGCTTCCAGACTAAGACAGACCAGGAAGAAGGACATGGCAGTCTACCTCCAAAAAAAATTGGCCAGTGAAAACCTTATGAATAGCAGTAGAACATTATCTGGTGTAGTGCCGGAAAATGAGCCCCTCAAGTTGGAAAGCACTCAAAATTCAACTGGGGAAGGGCTGCCTCCTCAAAGTAGAGTCAACCTTAATGACATGGATGGAGTAAAGCTTTTGGCACCCTCATTTGCTGAGGTAGCACAACTCAAAATTAGAACATTCATTAATAATCAGAACATGGATTGTATGAAGTATGAATCTAGGAAAATTGGAAGCTATCAAAATGAAATGGGATGCATACAGATTGATATTTTAGGCATTAGTGAGCGAAATGGACTGGTATTAGCCATTCTGAATCAGAAAATAAGGTCTACTATGCTGGGAATAACAAACTGAAGAGAAATGGTATCGTATTCATGGTCAAAAGGAACATTTCAGGATCTATCCTAAAGTACAACGCTGTCAGTGATAGGATAATATCCATACACCTACAAGGAAAACCCATTAACACGACTATTATTCAAATTTACACACCAACCACAAAGGCCAAAGATGAGGAAACTGAAGATTTTTACCAAATTCTGAAGTCTGAAAATGATCAAACATGCAATCAAGATACATTGATAATTACTGTTGACTGGAATGAGAAAGCTGGAAACAAAGAAGGATCAGTAATTGGAAAATATGGCCTTGGTGATAGAAATGACACTGGAGATCCCATGAAAGAATTTTACAAGACCAAGGGCTTCTTCACTGCAAATACTTGTTTTCAACACCATAAACGGTGACTATACACATGGACCTCACCAGATGGAATACACAGGAATCAAACTGACTACATGTGGAAAGAGACAATAAAGAAGCTAAATATCATCAGTCAGAACAAGGCCAGAGACCGACTACGGAACAGATCATCAACTGCTCATTTGCAAGTTCAAGTTGAAGCTGAAGAAAATTAGAGCAAGTCCACGAGAGTCAAAATACGGCCTTGGGTGTATCTGACCTGAATTTAGAGACCAGTGCATGAATAGAGTTGATGCACTGAACACTAATGACGGAAGACCAGACGAGTTGTAGAATGACATCAAGGACATCATACACAAAGAAAACAAAAGGTCATTAAAAAGACAGGAAAGAAAGAAAAGACCAAAATAGATGTCAGAAGAGACTCAGAAACTTGCTCTTGAAGACAGAGTAGCTAAAGCGAATGGAAGAAATGATGAAGTAAAAGTGCCGAACAGAAGATTTCAAAGGGCAGCTCAAGAAGACAAAGTATTCTAATGAAATATGCAAAGACCTGGAGTTAGAAAACCAAAAGGGAAGAACACACTGAGCATTTCTCAAGCTGAAAGAACTGAAAAAAAATTCAAGCCTCAAGCTGCAATACTGAAGGATTCTACAGGGAAAATATTGAATGACCCAGGAAAGATAAAAAGAAGATGGAAGGAATACACAGAGTCAATGTATCAAAAAGAAGTGGTCTACATTCAACCATTTCAGGAGGTAGCATATGATCAGGAACCGATGGTACTGAAGGAAGGAGTCCAAGTTGCACTGGAGGGAAAGGCTCCAGAAATTGACAGAATAACAATTGAGATGTTTCAACAAACTAATGCTCACTCTTCTACGTCAAATTTGGCAGACAGCTCCCTGGCCAACGTACTGGAGGAGATCCATATTCGTGCCCATTCCAAAGAAAGGTGATCCAATAAAATACAGAAATTATCAAACAATATCATTAGTATTACATGCAAGTAAAATTCTGCTGAAGATCATTCAAAAGCAGCTGCAGTAGTACATCAACCGGAAACTGCCAGAAGTTCAAGCCGGATTCAGAAGATGATGTGGAATGAGGGATATCATTGTTCATGTCAGATGGATCTTGGCTGAAAGCAGAGAATACCAGAAAGATGTTTACTTGTGTTTTATTGACTATGCAAAGGCATTCGACTGTGTGGATCATAACAAATTATGGATAACACTGTGAAGAACGGGAATTCCAGAACACTTAATTGTGCTCATGAGGAACCTGTACATAGATCAAGAGGCAGTCATTTGAAAAGAACAAGGGAGAATACTGTGTAGTTTAAAGTCAGGAAAGGTGTACGCCAGGGTTGTACCCTTACATCATAATTATTCAATCTGTATGCTGAGCAAATAATCTGAGAAGCTGGACTATATGAAGAACAAGGCATCAGAATTGGAGGAAGACTCATTAATAACCTGCGATGACACAACATTGCTTGCTGAAAGTGAAGAGGACTTGAAGCACTTACTGAGGAAGATCAAAGACAATAGCCTTCAGTATGGATTGCGTCTCAACATAAAGAAAACAAAAATCCTCACAACTGGACCAATAAACAACATCATGATAAACAGAGAAAAACTGAAGTTGTCAAAGATTTCACTTTACTTGGATCCACAATCAACATCCATGGAAACAGCAGTCAAGAAATCAAATGACGTACTGCATTAGGCAAATATGCTGCAAAAGACGTCTTTAAAGTGTGGAAAAGCAAAGATGTCATTTTGAGGACTAAGATGGGCCTGACCCAAGCCATGATATTTTCAATCACCTCATATGCATGCAAAAGCTGAACAATGAATAAGGAAGACCGGAGAAGAATCAACACCTTTGAATTATGGTGTTGGCGGAGAATATTGAATATACCATAGATTGCTAGAAGAACGAACAAGTTTGTCTCAGAAGAAGTACAGCCAGAATGCTCCTTAGAAGTGAGGATGGCAAGAACTCGTCTCATATACTTTGGACATGTTATCCAGAGGAACCAGTCCCTGGAGAAGGTCATCATGCTTGGTGAAGTAGAGGGTCAGCGAAAAAGAGGAAGACCCTCAACGAGACGAACTGACACAGAGGCTGCGACAATGAGCTCAAGCATAATAACGATTGTGAGGATGGCACAGGATCGGGCAGTGTTTCATTCTGTTGTACATAGAGTTGGAACTGACTCAACAGCACCTAACAATAACATCTAAATTTTACGTATTTTATTGAAACTACAAAGATAACCCATAGAAGAATTAAAAATAATATTACAACTTTCAAGCTTGGAAGATGGGGGAATAAGTCAGAGGTTACATGAGTGAAACTCTCATTTTTCACAGTAGGAATTCAATAAATAATGACGAAAGTCAATGATGATAGCACCCAAGATATGAACCCTCTCTCATATTTGGTATTTCAGCTAGAAACAAATGAAATTAAGAGATGCTTTGTCATGGTTTGAATTATGTCCCCCCAAAAATGTGTGTATCAATTTGGCTGGGCCATGATTCCCAGAATTGTGTGGTTGGCCTCCATTTTGTGATTGTAATTTTATGTTACAGAGGATTAGGGTGGGATTGTAACACCACATTTACCCAGGTCACATCCCTGATCCAATGTAAAGGAGTTTCCCTAGGGTGTGGCCTGCACCACCTTTTACCTTACAAGAGATAAAAGGAAAGGAAAGCAAGCAGAGAATGGGGGACCTCATACCATCAAGAAAGCAGTACCAGGAGCAGAGCGTGTCCTTTGGACAAGGGGTCCCTGCGCAGAGAAGCTCCCCGTCTGGGGGAACACTGATGAGAAGGCGGAGAGAGAGAAAGCCTTCCCCTGGAGCTGATACCCTGAATTTGGACTTTTAGCGTACTTTACTGTAAGGAAATAAACTTCGCTTTGTTAAAACCATCCACTTGTGGTATTTCTGTTATAGCAGCACTAGATAACTAAGACATGCTTTAAAAAAAAAAATAGTTCCTCAGTGGTGCAAATGAAAGGTTGGAGGTTCAAGTCTATCCAGAGGCACCAGAAGAAAGACCAATTAATGAGCTATTGAAAACCCTGCGGAGCACAATTCTACTCTGAGACACACGGGGTCGCCATGAGTCAGAGTCGATTCAATGACAACCGGTATGTTAAAAAAAATAAAAGGCAGTGGAGACATATTCACCATTCTGATTTCAATCTCAAAGTGGCAACAGTGTTTTAGCTCACAGCGTGCAGGTGAATTTCTTAAAATATGTCTGAAATGATGAAATTAAGAGAGGCAATCTCTGAAAGCCAATACCCAGTATCTTGTCAGTTAGTTAATTAAGAATAAATGCAGCATTAATTAAGCACATGTCCTAAGCCTACCAATATGCTGGACACCATAAATGACTCATACAAAGAAATAAAACATACCCTTTGCCGTGAAATTCAGTTCCACCATAAAAATGCACTAAGCATTTATTACCTGTGTGGCACCTGGACAGGCCCAGGATTACCAACATAAAAAACAAGGGCCTCTACCTTAAGGAAGAGAGGGTGGCAGACAAAAATAAATCATTTCAACAGAGTTTGGTAGGCACAAAAGAGGGAGACCTATTTCTCGACAGGAGGAAGCAGACCAATACCCAACAATTTTAAAAAGATTCAAGACCTTTCACAATAAGATGCTAAACTGTACAATAAATGTCATCCAAGATTAAGAAGCAAGATTAATTCTAGCTAAAGCAGTTTCAAAGAAGGCTTCCTGAAAGAGAGGCTTTAAAAGCTGAGGTAAATTTAAATTAATGAGGCAACGAAGGGAAAGCTGTCCAGGAAAGAGCCCACAGCCTATACAGAGGGGGTTAGAGGGAGGTACGAAAATGGCTCACGTTGGCCATATATAAAACAAAGGTAGTGTCTCCTAAAATTAAAACTCGTCATTATCTATTGACTTTGTTACAGGAGGTACTATAAATGGAGGAAAACTGAAACTTTAAAATATTATTCACAAACAACTAGATTGTATATTGAAATAGTAAAAATATATCAAAGTGTTCTTACTCCAAGTGGTAGTGATATTACATAATTTCCCCAAGATAGTTCTCCCTTAGAAGAGACAAAAAATAATGAAAGAGACTGTTCAGCTTTCAGGGAATCTTACTTCCACAGGATGTGTCACAGGATTTACAGAATAACATTTTGCTCTAACAGCCCACATCAACTGCAATGAGTAAATGGCTAGTGAATTGCTTTTTTGATCTTAATCAACATCAAAGAAAAAACTTTCAATCAACTTAAATTCAGAAAAATCTTACTCCACCTTGACGTCCTCATGGATACTAATGCCATATTTCTTTATTCAAGTGTCTAAATGTAATTTATCTTTGAAATCAAAAGAATTTCTGCCTGAGCCAATATTTTTAAAAGACAGCAGTAGAAATACGGTCTAGTTTTGTAAGACCTCACTAATTTTTAAGAATCATCTTAAAAATTATTTCAATGACCTGCCAATATTCTTCCCTTTCTTTCTAGACAGCATAGTAAACATACATAATTTTACTTAAGTCAATTACGAGCAATGACAGTTATTAATTTCTTCTATCCACCTAAGAAAGAAAAAGATGTCTTGGAGAAAGGCAGTCCTTTAAAGAGTTACAACATAAAAATACAGGATTTCAAAACAAGAGCAGCATTTTAGCCAACAGGTAGTAAGGTAGTGATATTTTCCCTGTATCAATGATATATTTTAAGAGATTCTGGCCATCATATCAGAAAGCAAATATATATACATATATACGCAGAAATAGTTTTAGTGTTTTTGTAAACAAGGCTAACCCCTAGCAAAAAAAAAAAAAAAAAAAACAGCAATAGGAAGAAATAATTAGAAGATACATTCATTGCATTTGTTTATATTCCTTTTCCCAAAATCAGTTTATTTTCATTGATGATTCCTTTACTGCCTCCTGCTAAAAAACGCACTTGCATTTCACAACTGCTTTTGCATTTCTGGAGCCCTAGTTTTTCATACCAGGGATTAAAAGCTTTGCCACTGCTTTAAAAGGCCTAATGGAAAGAACACGGAAGACTAAATGTTGAATTTGCTGTTCTCTCTAGCCAGCACAGACGGTGAAAATACAGAGCCCTTTGTGTCTCTAAAGAAAGAACTAAGGCTACAAAAGAGAAGAATTCACACTAAGGCTGACAGAAGACATCAAGATTCCTTCCCAACTTGCGTCCTTGGCGCGAATCCCTTCTCACTGGCCCTTTTCAAGTGGAAGCTGTGGCCTCCATTTCTCGGTAATTCTCTTCCCTCTGATTGCCCTAAGAGTGAAAGAACAGTCAAGCACTAACATAGCTTGCGAAGCAGAATGTTTGACGAAACAGCTCTGTCCCCCGGACAAACGGGTACTGGGTGCGGAAGGTGGCAGTCTGCGCTCTATCCCTTTGGAGCTGCGCCTCCCTCGCAGAGCCTGATCTGAGCTGTCTGAGAGCCCAAAATTGTAACGAGCAGGTAACGGAAGGTAAACAAAGGCTCGCTCGCTGGGGCGGGGGTCACTCTGCGCGCCGCCCCTGCCCACCTGGCTCCGCACCCTTCTGGGGGACCGATGGGACGGGATGGAGACAGCCCTGCAACCGCAAAACCCAGAACAAAAGCAACTTGCCATGGCGGAGGAGAGAGGTGTCCACCGCTGCCGCCAGGAAGCCTGAACCGAAGCCGGGGGGCTGGGTCAAGTCTGCAGGTTTTGGTTTCGGTTTTGGTTTTCGCTCTCTTGGCGACAGTTCGTCCGAAGAGCGGCCCCTCCACTCCACCAAGATGTTCTTCGGCTTCATGGCCGCTGGATGGGAGCACCGACTCCTGACTGCTGCTGCCAGCGCCTGTCCGGACGCGTCTAATAGTTTCGCAACTTTTGAAACTACGGTAGAAGGAGCCCCGGAGGATTCCCAGGCAGGGACTTGGGGATTCTCCGGGTGTTGCGTCTGTCCTGTGCTCAGTTGTAATCTGGATCCAATTTCCTACGCCCTCATTATCTCCCCAACGTCTCTCCCCACCCCTTACCTGCCCAAGGACTTCCCAGCCTTGCTCAAGCCGAGGTCACCGAATGAAAAATGCAAGGTCCTTGCCAACAAATAGCTCTCGACTTTGTCCACGCCATGCTCACACACTCGAGTCTGGCACCTAAGGGGTACAGAGATCCCCTTAGCTTCAAAGTCAAAGTCAGAAGAGCATAAAGAAGAAAGGTAAACGGCAGGCAAATATGAAGAAGCTTAACCCCACTCATAAGAAATACATATTGAAATGATGAGATACCATTTTTCCACAATTAGATTGGCAAAAATTAGAAAAAAAAAAAAAAACAAAACCCAGTGTTAGCCAGAGTATGAGGAAGCACCAGTGTTGCTATTAGTATAGAGAAGTACAAGCATTTTTAAAAGAAATTTTGCCCCATCTATCAAAATGTAAAATGCAAAATAATGTTAAAATGCACAAATCCTTTGACTTAGCAATTGTGTTTTAGAACTGAACCTGAAGTTACCGGGCACAAGTGGCACTAAGATAATGTACAGAAATTAGTTATGTGATGCTTGTTGCACAGGTAATAATAGTTTTAAAAAGCAAAACAAAACTGGGAACCACCTAGTTTACAAAGGAATAGAGCTATAGACCTATTATACGGTTAATGGCATATCCTTAAGGCACAAGACTATGAAACTTTTAAAAAGAATGCGGTAGATTTATTTGTGGTTCCCAAATTTAAATGTTCACATCCAGATTCGTATACCCAAATGTCCACTTAAATGTCGAAAAGTATCTGAAATTCAACAAGACCAATCAGAACTCTCCTTCTCCCCTTATCTTCCCCCTCAGTAAATGGCAACAGTACCCACCCAAGGAAGGCCCTGGGTGATGCAAACAGTTAAGACACTTGGCTGCTATCTTAGTTATCTAGTGCTGCTGTAACAGAAATACCACAAGTGGGTGGCTTTAACAAACAAATTTATTTTCTCACAGTTTAGGAGGCTAGAAGTCTGAATTCAAGGTGCCAGCTCTAGGTTAAGGCTTTCCCTCTCCGTCAGCTCTGGAAGAAGGTCCTTGTCTCTTCTGAGTTTCTACTCCTGGACAGTCTTCATGTGGCTTAGCATCTCGCTTACCCCATCTCTGCTCTACTTGATTTTTTTAATCTCTTTTATATCTCAAAAGAGATTGACTCAAGATACACCCTACACTAATACTACCTCATTAACGTAACAAAGACAACCAGTTCCCAAATGGGATTACAAACACAGGCACAGAGGTTAGGATTTATAACACATATTTTGGCGGGGGAGACAATTCAATCCATAACATTCCACCCTTTGGCCTCCCTAAATTCATGCCCTTGCCACATGCAAAACACATTCACCCCATCACATCATTGCAAAAGTCTTAAATCAATTCCAAGTCCAAAAATCTCATCTTCTGAAGCATCTACTCAAATATGGGTGAGACTTCAGTTGTATTTCATCCTGGGGCAAAATTCCTCTTCATCTGAGAACATGTGAAATCTACAATACAAGTTATCTGTTTCCAAAGTGCAATGGTAGAACGGGCACAAGGTAGACATTTCCATTACAAACGGGAGAGATTGGAGGAAAAGAAGGGATAATGGGCACCAAGCAAGTCCAAAACCCAGCAGAACACATTACATTAGCTATCAAGACTTGAGACAATCCTCTGTTCTCTGAGAATATCTGGGCAATGGCCCTGCCCTCTAGACTCTGGGTGTTGGCCGTGCCCTTTGGATTCTGGGTGGAAGCCCCTCAGCCCCGGGCTTCAGCTCTCCCTGCCAGGTTCACTGGGATGGCAACTCTGCTCCCTTGGCTTTGGGCGGCCCCATTCGCCTAGTCCATCTGAGTGGCAATCCCACTTCTTAAGCCCCAGGAGACCCCGTTCATCTTTCCCTTCGGCATGGAAGCCCTGCGCCCTCAGCTTTGGAACCAAGTTGCTGAAGACCTGACCTTTGAAACCTAGAAGGCTGTGGCCCCACCCTTTGAGACTCAGGGGGCTGCCTCTAGGGGTAGGCTTTCTCTGTCAGCTCTAGAGGAAGTTCCTTGCCTCTTCTGAGCTTCTGCTCCTATACAATCTTTATGTGGCTTGGCATGTCTCTTACCCCATCTCTCCTCTGCTCCCTTGTTTAATCTCTTTTGTATCTCAAAAGAGATTGACTCACCTCAAAGAAAAAACTAGTCCACAGGACTAATAGTTCACATGAACCACACAGCCTTACCTAGCCTGAGACCAGAAGAACTAGATGGTGCCCAGTTACCACTAACGACCATTCTGACCAGGAACACAATAAAAGGTCCCAGATAGAAAGGAAGAAAAATGCAGGACAAAAGAAAAATTCCTAAAATAGGCCAGACTTACTGAACCAATAGAGATTAGAGGAAACCCAAGACTATTGCCCCAAGATACCCATTGAAATTGGAACTGAGGTTACTCCCGATGGTCACCTTTCATCCAAATAATAGATTGGCTTATAAAACAAACAATATCACCTGTGAATACTGTCCTCCCTTAAATAATGAAACCAAACTATATGAGACCAAATGGTCAACATTTACCCTAAAACAAAGATAGAAGCTGGGGAGGGGAAGGGAAGCTAGACTAATGGAAACAGAACAAAATTAATGGAAATAATGAGAATGTTGATACAATGTGAACAATGTAACCAATGTCATGGAACAAGTTGTATAAAAATTGTTAAATAGGAACCTAATTTGCTATGTAAACTTTCACCTATAACACAATAAAAATTTTTTTTTAAAAAAAAAAAAGCAATTGACTCAAGATACACCCTACACTAATCCTGCCTCATTAATATAACAAAGACAACCCATTCCCAAGTGGGATTATAATCACAGGCATAGAGGTTAGGATTTACAACACATATTTTGAGGGGACATAATTCAATCCATAACAGCTGCTAACTGAAAGGCTGGAGATTGGAGTCCACCAAGAGGTGCCTTAGAAGAAAGATTGCCAGAATCTACTTCCAAAAAATCAGCCTTTGAAAACTCTATGGAGCACAGTCCTACTCTGACACACATGAGGTTGTCATGAGTGGGAATCAAGTAGACAGCAAGTGGTTTGGTTTTATTTTAACCAGCCCATCCAGGAGCTCAAGCTCATGACTCAGTTGTGTTCCTTGATTTCTTCATCCAATCTATTAGTACTTCTGGTCAACTGGAGCTCCAAAATATTGTCACCATTACCACCCTGGTCCTGTTTCCATCTTCTCTGACTCCCATCTATTTTTGATGCCACACCCAGAATGGTCTTTTTAAAATGTAAATCAGGTTTGACCTCTGTTTAAACACTTCATTGTTTTCACATTATACTTTAAATAAAATTCAAATTCCTCATCAAGAGACCAAAATGACCTGGATCTTCTCTCAGGCCTCATTGCTTAGCACTGTTCTCATTCCCTCTGCGCTGACCACACAACAAGTCATAAACCCTGAGAGTATTTCATGGCCTTTGTACTAAGTCTGCCTAGATAGGGTCTCCCCTATTCTTCACTTGACCAGAAAACTGCTCTCATCAGAGTCTTAACTCAAATGACCCCCCTCCTCAGAGAGGCTGTCTCCATTACCCAATCTAACTTTGACCCCCAGTTAGTTGTTATCCCATCACCCTATTATACCATCTTAATAGCCCTTGTAGATTTCTAAATTATATTCTTCATCTCTTTGCTCATGTTGAATGTCCCTAACTCACTCAGAATTTTAACTCCATTAGAAGACAGACCTTACCTATTCTATTTTATCTTAGGCTAGACTCTGTAGAGAAGCAAAACCTGTGAAGTGTGTGTATATACATATAGACAGACAGACAGATAGAGAGATTTATCTCAAGGAAATGACTCACGTGGTTGTAGAGGCTGACAAGTCCAAAGTCCATGGCTCAAGCATCAGGCTAGATGTTTCTCCTGACTCACAGTGCTGCAGGAGCTGATGAATCCAAGATTAGCAAGTCAGATGGTAAGCTACTAACTCACAGGCTGTGGAGGCCAACCTCATACCACCAACAAAGCAGAATGCATCCTTTGGACCTGGGGTTCCTGCACTGAGAGGCTCCTTGATTGATGACAAGGATATTCCCTCAGAACCGACAGAGAGAAAGCCTTCCCCTAGAGCTGGCACCCTGAATTTAGACTTCGAGCCTCCTAAACTGTGAGAGAATAAACTTCTGTTTGTTAAAGCCATCAACTTGTGGTATTTCTGTTATAGCAGCACTAGATGACTAAGACATCTAAACTTTCATTCCTGAAGGGTCTGGATCATTAGTAGGCATGTCAGAATTGGGTTGCTATAGTTTTCCATTGACTTTTATCACAGGGCATGGTAGTACTAGGAGATGCCCTACGGGATCTCCTGTATTCCTGACATATTCTTTTTTACCTCCACTACGCAACTTCATCTCACATACTTTGGACATGTTATCAGGAGGGACCAGTCCCTGGAGAAGGACATCATGTTTAGTAAAGTAGAGGGTCAGCAAAAAAGAGGAAGACACTCAACGAGATAGATTGACACAGTGGCTGCAACAATAACAAGGATCATGAGGATGAAGCAGAACTGGGCAGTGTTTTGTTCTCTTGTACATACAGTCACTATGAGTTGGAACCAACTCAATGACACCTAACAACAACAACATGCAACATCAATCTAATTTCCCCTTGGTAGTCAGTGTCAATCACACCAGCCAATATGGTAACTCCCTTGATAAGGGACATGAAGAGTTCAAAGTGACCAGGTAGCATTCTTATCTTCCGGTTTAATGGAATTCATGTTGGGTCTCCAGGTGAGAGCATTCCTCCCTTTGGAACTAAGACTTTAAACCCACAGAGCATAGGGTTGCGGAGACAGGAAGCAAAAATTTTGCAAGCGGGTCACAGGGGTAATTCGGAGTCGTGCAACTCCCATCTCCACCCCTTGATTCCTGGAAAGATAGTGTAGAGCACATACAGCCTCCTGGAGAAGATTGCACCAAC